GACAACGCCGTACCGCCCGCGGTGCCACCCTCCAGCATCACAGAAGCAACACCGGGCATGCTGATGTCGTTGTTGATTGAGTGCTTTTGGACGCGCTGTGGCCGGCGTCAACGTTGCCCGCACACCACAAGACTCGCGACGCCTTCCTGCGATGCAGAAGCGTACGAGCGATGTGTCTCACGATGTCCACAACAACTCCACCAGCCACGCATGCCCAGAGGTGTAGGAATGTATCGCGTCAAGTCGCCCGACGCGAGGGTAGAAAAATGGTCCATTGCCACACCCATCGCGCAACACTGGAGCGAGAACTTGACATGCCGGGCTTACGCAGGAACGTAAGCCATGGTGCGAGAACAGGATCCCCGTTGAGCGTGATTTGCCCGCGAGCTGAAGGGCCTGGGATCCGCGCCCTCCCAGTGGTCGAAAACACGGCTATTCTTAATGGTGCGACATACTCGTGTGCAGCTCTCTGCAAGTCGCCACCGATACCATTCTTCTTCGAAGGGTGTAAAGAAATTCGGTTGGTGGGATGCATGGTCATATAGCTGCACATGCGGCCTTAATCCATCTCGCAAGTGTGTTTCAGGTGTTGGGCTGCCACTTCGGCTACCACTCGTGCAGCGACCGATTGTGGTGGTGTACCAGACAAAGCAACAAGCTGCTCTATCTAGGTATCGATAGTAGACGCAGTTGGCTGGCTATGACGCGGATGAAGTGGATGCCTCACCATTTACACTTCCGCCGCGGTATGAGTTATGCATGTTGGTGCCTCGTATAAGATTCGGCACAAATAGAAACGAGCTATCGAATGCTGCGGGTGCAAAGTTATGAAGCCGCCGGCGAGGCCTAAGTGGCTTACTCGTAAAAGCGGCGTGTCTTTCGCGTGACAAGCGTTGGTCGACTCGAACAGGCCCGATGGCATCCGCCTGGCCGTCATCCCCCACATTGACTGCAGAGCTTATTGATCGAGAATAGCGTCTACTGCAGGTACAATGCAGGAACAAACGGTAAGTGAGACCCCGTACAACATGCGGGCTTATCGTGACTCCAGGAAAAGATTTCGTGGGATTTTCGCGCCGTCTGCTCGCCCTACCACTGTCGTCATGCTCACTGCTTCATGTCAAGACGATGCAATTTCTAGAAGGCCACATCAGCGGGGCTCCCTTACGACTCAACAGGGTCCTGATGCGACTCAAGTTGAAGAAGGGCTCTTCCGTGGTGTGGGCCGTGTCAGTTAGCGTGTGCGGCGTGGTCATGCCATAGCTTCGGCGCCGGGGAACGACGCATGGCTTCCATAGCACAACTCCACTCGACTCTCTCTCCACTTCTTCAGCCTTGTCATTGGCCGAGACTCACGAGGCCCTGATCTTCGTCCTCTCGAAGGAAGTTTTCCAGCCTGGCGGGGTTGGGGCTTCCATCCCGCTCGCCCATGATTTGACTATCGCGATGGTGTGTCCTTTGACTCGCTAGCACGTCTATCGGAAGTACAGCCATGTGTGCCGGCTTGACCAACACCAGAGCTAGTCGACCGTGCCACTCAGGTTCCTGCGTTTGTTCCGTCATGCCGCGGGTCAATGTTACTTTTACGCGTTAGAAACGAAGTGTGGCTTCCGAAACCATTGAGGGCATGACTACACAACGTGAATAGTTGCAAGGTGTCTCTGCTGGTAGGATGCGCACCAGGTGCCTCCCTGAAGGCTTGACAAATCTGACGTACCGTCCCCAAGGCACCGATACCGGGAACGTCGTCTTCTGGAATTGTGAAACTCATCAAAGGTCGCCATTGCCGAAGAGGCAATGACAACGGCTATGTCACCCCGATAAGGCAGCTGGCAGATCGCTGAGCCCACCGCGTCGGGGTCTCAAGCACGGTCAGACATGCTTCTAACGAAATTCGCGTTATGCTCAAGCAGGGTCAAGCTCGTCTGTAATCTCCCGAGAGCCCGCACGACTGGTCCCTGACCCTGTGGCTTCTGGAATTCTTCCCCACACTGATGCTCGGTGCTTGCTGCTGAATGCATGTGGATGTGCTATGCGGTGTGCTGGTCCAGCCAGGGCAACCCTTCCTGCGAGACACCGCCTTGACATTGTTGAGGCCAGTGTCTGATGCGAAAGGCATCGGTTGGACATGTGTCTCGTCTAGTCGAGACGGCAAGTGGGAATTCCCAAAGGTCCGCGTTCTGGAGCCGTCGTGGCTATTGCCGAAGCAGCTGGCCTGAGAGCAGGCGGTCGAGGTCGCACCGCTACGGGCTGGATCTCACCATCAGCCCGACACACGTGGGATTCTATCGACAATATCGGCATACGATAAGCCCGCGGTGAAACGACCGTGAATGTGGTTAGCACCAGGTCCCGGGTGGATAAGACCCGTGTTATTCAATGTTGTTAAGTTTCGAAAGCTTCCATTCATCGCAAATCACTCGGCACGTCGCGCCTTGGCTGGTCATCGAAATCTCTGCAGACCGTCCTCTGGCCATGACACGAGACCTCGACAGGCGACATCTCCCCAAGTCGGCGAGACAAGACCATAAGTGCTCATGGCACCAGGGTCTCGCAACGCTGCGGGACAAACCGACCATGGACGGCTAGTGACTGTGCTCCCCAACGTATGGAAAGTCGCCGATCGAGCGCAGATCTTGGGCATACGGGCGCGTCGGCACGACGATCGCAATTGAAAGTGACGCGCGTGAAGTTGTACATGCTCGATAGTTCTCCTCGACCAGAGGATGGGGCGTAGACGAGCAGGTAATTGTCATGAACATGTGAACCTGACGTACTACAGTAGCTTATTGACGTAAACTTTGTCCAGGACCGGTAAATTCAGAGTCGTAAAGACAGCGAGCAAGTTGGCAGCCGTAGCGTCCCCGCGGCTGCAAGCAACCTGGTATTCACCGATCATGTTGACTACTGACTGACTGAGCACTCGACGTCGCTATCAGCCGCCGTACGGGCCGACTGACTCTGTTCACATGTACAGCCAAAAGCGAGCGGCGCCGCGGTCGAGCAAAGGAAACCCGGGTCGAGAACTCGAGAGCACGAGGCACGCACGCCGCAGTGTCCGACCGAACATGTCCTCCTACGCTCTGACGCCGAAAGTTCCTCCATGGCCACCATCCCGCGCCAATGCCGAGGCACCGCATGAATCCAGACGCACGGCGCTTTGTTTCGCGGCATCCTCAGGCAAAAAGCCATCTTCTGGAAACATACGAAATGCAAACCGCATGAACAGAGACGACGAGAATAGGGCATTCCCTGCGCCCTCGTGGCCACGGCCCATCCATCTCATACAGGATCCTCGCTGAAACATGGCAGATCTCAACGGCGAATGATCTGAAGCAGCGACAGCGGCTGTGTCGAAGTCGCCATACGTCCCTGGCACTGTGCCCGTCTCACAGGCCTGCGCGTGCTCTCCAATCTGCGAAACACCCAGGTGTCATCCAACGGTCGCGTCGAGCTTCTGCGACAGCGCCGCAGCAACCGCGCAATACTTCCGAACAGGAACGTGAAACAGGCCTCAGAAGTAGTGATGTTGTAATCAGTCGCAGCCTAGGCCACGTATTACTCTTCCTATCAATTATTCAAATGATTCATCAGCGGCCATGGAGAGGAGAGGTCGCTCGAGCGCGCGGCGAAAAGTCTTTTGAGGTTCCTCGGGCCCGCCGAAGCTTAGCCGGTGTCACGTGCCGGTCGGAGAAACGCGCGCGCCGACGCGCTAGTGCGGCGGCCATAAAAACTTCGCACCTCTGCGTACTACTTCTGCTCCTCGCGGCGCAGGACGATAGTCCGTTTCCCCGGTTGCTTGAGGGTCATATTCCATGTCCCTTCATGTGTCGTCGACCTGCCAGAGAGAACATATTGCATCATCTATCATATACACTTTGTGGGGGCGCCTGTTTCTAGTGGCGCCTTCACTGGAAAAAGGTAGAACATACTTTCGTGACTCGCAGCCTTTGCTGCACCAGTACGCTCAAGTCGAGGCCCTATGCCTTCTGAGCAGCACTGAACGCGCAGATGTCTTGCTTGTGGCCTTGCAGTGATTCGTATCATTTCTGTGAGCAAGCATCCATTACTCGATCGTTCCAAAGCTGGACTAGCGCTATATCTACAGCAGTGAACCTCCCGGCGTCAAGTTGTCTGCAAATTGAGCGGCGCCGTTTTGTTGCACTCCGAAATGTATGCTCCATGACGCGAGTAGTCATTTTGACGTTATGGTCGTGGAATGTGTATGTCAGGAGCTGAACTCGTTCAAGGTGAATTCTCCGAAGACGACGGCGAACACGTGCCCTGGCGAGTCTAATCTATATCCGTTTCCCTGTGAACACGCCATTGACGTGAATGTCTCTGGTCTGAGAATATTCGTTTCTCCCGATGTTGTCGTGCAGCGTTGATAGAGTTGCACCGTGGCAAATCCGCATTATAGCCCTGTTGAACAGCATCAAGACCAGTGCAATTTGGCCAGGAGTACCACAACATGCTCACAGGCAATTGACCATAGTCAGATGATAGAAAGATAGTCCAATGAATAAAGGCAAAATACATTTTGCCATCGGATGTCGTGGAAATAAACACATGTCGATTTGCTCGTTATTACGCGCATTTCACACGTGCGCTAAAGGCCCAAAAATTAATTCCTCAACTATGCAACCATTCTCCAAGATACCAAAGTTGTCTTCGTTTGCATGCCCTCTCATTACGTCAGTACGACTTTGTTTGAGGGCCAACGGTTCAAAATCACTCTGCCGTTGAGAATCGTTGCGGTCACGTACCGGTGATCTCGTCAATACCATCTCTCCATATGTCCACGGAAGAAACATCATGACTTCACCCACAGCAGTACATCAACACTACTGTGACATTTATCAATAGCGATCAAGAGTGATAGAAAAGAAGACTCGTTCATTCATTAGATCACCCCATGAAATGGCTAACACACAACTACGGGTACAACACTATATCATACACGGAACATCCAACTCCACCCTCTTCCACCCTCTTCCACCCTAAGCAGCCTGTGTCTGCGTCTGCGTCTGCGTCTGACTAGCAGGCTGTTGCGTCCCGAGCAACCTCTGAAGGTCACCCAGACCAGCTCCAGCCCTCTTCTTCCTCTGCTTCCCGCCCTCTTTCTCCGCAAACGCCAAGCCCATCAATTTCCTCTTCTCCTCTTGAATACCCAACACCCGCTCCTCTACACTACCTTCGACTACCAGACGAAAGACCTTCGTCTCGCGCTTCTGCCCTAGTCGATGCACGCGGTCCACGGCTTGATCTTCAATGGCAGGCGCCCACCACGAGTCCGCCAGAACGACTTGGTTTGCGGCAACGAGGTTCAAGCCGACACTGCACACGGCGAGTGAGGCGAGCATGATGGTCGTCTTTGGATCGGAGTCTAGTGCTTCGAGGGCGACGTCACGTTGTGTGGCGGACATGGAGCCGTCTATGCGTACGTACTTCAGACCGTAGAGGGTGAGGTGTGGCTCTAGGAGATCGAGGAAAGAAGTCCATTGGCTGAAGATGATGGTCTTGTTTGTGGGGTCGTTGGCGGATGCCCGGAGAATGTCGAGAAGTGCCTCGACTTTGGTACTGGTGTTCTTCTCGAGAGATTGCCTGTCGGCGATCTGGTCCTGTGTCAACGGCGCTGGAGCAGCGCCGGACAGTTCCTTTGCAGGTTTCACTGTTGTAGTTGCGATGGAATCCAAGTCTGCACGGCACATGGGGCACTTGTGTTGGGTTTCGATAACGCGTTCTAGACAGGGAGTGCAGAAGACGTGAGCGCATTTGGTGATGACGGGCTCTTTGTATACGTCCAAGCAGATCGGACAGTCTTCCTGCGATTCGATGGAGAGTTGAAGCATCTTCTGGAGCGCGGCCTTGTTCTCTTCTGTAAGATCGACAACCCCTTCTGCTTCGAGCTGCTTCATGATGGAGTCGAGGCGCTCTTCGCCCACGAGCTGCCAGTGGTTGCAAACTTGTCGCATTCGGAGCAGTACCTCAAGGAGATGGCGGTAAGTATCCCCGGCGTTCTTCTTCCCGATGTTGTGCTTGTAGACGTCCAGCGTACCCTTAGCCTGAGCCTCCAAGGCATCGTACTTCTCCTGTTCATGCGGATGTAGCTTGATCTTATGTACGTATTCAGACAGCTCAGGTAGTCGTAGGTCAATGAATGACATCTCCTTCTTGCGACGCAAACAGATACCCGACATCAGCTGCTGGAGCACCTTGTGGCCTTGAACGTCGCCTTGCATGACTGGACGCATGATGGCACTGTGGAAGATTTCGAAAGAGTCAAGACCACCCGAAAGACGTAGGAAACGGACTTGAGAGTAGAGATCCTTGAGATTGTTGATGATTGGAGTGCCAGTAAGCGTCCAGCGGGACTGCGCGATCAAATTGGTGATGGCGATTGTCTTCTTGGCTTTCGGGTTCCTTATGCCATGGCCCTCATCGAGGATGACTCGGCGCCACTTGATAGAGAAGGGTCCGGATCGTCGTGGGACAGTAGGCTTCGTCTGCGAGTACCAGTCAGAAGCAACAGACTCGTAAGTGCTGATCACGACATCGTAGTTTTCGATCGACTTGGGTGTGATGGGTTCCTTCCTTTGACCGTGCCAGAACATAACACGGAGAGCATGTTCGGGCTTGACATGCTTCTTCATCTGAGTGCTCCAGTTGCTCATCACCGATACGGGAGCAAGGATCAGCGTGGCACCGGATGAATCGTCTGCGCGGAGGTTCAGTGCACGATCCGCCAGAATGAGCGAGATGGTCTGAATAGTCTTTCCCAGGCCCATGTCATCGGCCAGGATACCCCCAGAAGCTAGTGTTGGATTCTTGATCGAGAAGCTCGTTGCTACGTTCGTGAAGGCGTTCTGGTCGCGAGTGTGTCGTCGCCATAGCTGGACCACTTCTTTGGTGTTCGGTGCTGGTAGTCTGGGGCTTTCCTTGTCGAGCATCCATTGCAGGCCTTGTAGCTGGAAGGGGTGCAGCTCAGTAAGAAGAGCGTCGGGTTGGGGCGCTTGTGGCATTTTCGCCTGCCGAATGTTAGTGGTAGATACTGGAGTCGCACGTGCGCATCACTTACCAGGTCTTCTTCCTTGACGCCGTACTCTTCCACCATCTCCTCGACGTTTCTTGGGTTGAAGCGTAGGCTTCCGCCGATGATGTCCTCCATACTAGGCCCTGGCACGAGACCGGGTCCCTGTGAAGAGCTAGCAGCAAATTCGCCCATGCTACTCTCGGGTGCCTGGCTACCCGCAACACCCACGACGGCAGCGCCCTTCTTTTTGGCCTCTTTGGCGGCTTGCTTGGCTATACGCTCGCGTTCCTTCGCAGCCGCCTTCGCAGCCGCAGCTTCCTTGCGCTGTTGGTCTGAAGCATGTCCGATAGGAAGTCCGTCGCGTCGCATTCGTGTCATGAGCTGTTGCCTCACGGCTGGGTCATTAGTGCCGTATAGCTTCAGCTGCATAGGGCAGTCATATTCGCCCTTCTCCCCTGTGAGCTGTGCCTCGATAAGCAGACTGCGCTCGTCCATGTATTTGGCCAACTTGGATGCGGGTCCTCGTGGAAGGTGTCCGATCTGTACACCTTGTACGTTGCTCACTTTGATCGCATTACTGTCAAAACTATTGTGGGGTTCGCGACTCAGAACCACCATCTCGCCCTTCGTTGCGTATCCGTTGTAGAATCGCAAGCCCACAACCTTGTCGTCCTTGATGCCGTATAATATGTAGTCGTACTGCTGCTGGTTGTATGCTTGCGTCGCATCCGGGACTTCTTGAGAGGCGTCGTCTTCGTCGTCTTCGTCGATAAAGATGGCGTCTGCTTGCGACGAGCCAGATGTGATGCGTTGCGCTTGGTTGTACGATGTACGAGCTTGCTTGGGTGCGCGGTGCGGGCTCGAAGAGTAGGCGGGCGCATCGTCGTCTCCTGTGAGGTCAATGGCCTCGTAGGCGCGTCGTTTAGGAGGCATTGCGCGTCGAACAATGGGTGCTGGGAGATATGAGAGATGAAATGCGCGACGGCGGGGAAGGCTTTATGACGTTTGTCGCACGAGCGTGTTCGCGAAATTTCGCGACCGTTGGACGGGGGGAGGAGACGATAAGGGGATAAGGGTTTCAGGTACCTGGCACGCTAAGGCGCGGAAGCAGGTGACATCACAGACAGGGGTTGCCAGGCACGCTCCGATTGCGGTTCGGTCAAGGAGATGAGGAGACGCAAATCGCAATCAACGGTCGAGTTACTTTCCAGATATACCTGTCAGGATACCAGTGTCTTTGTCTCGGATGCCCAAGACATGCGCTCAATTGGCAAACAAAGCGACCAGTCGTTTCTTGTAGCGGTGCGCAACATGAGACGAGAAAACGACGAAGCGCATCGGCATCTTTTGCTGTAGAGAAACCGTCTATTCGATACATCGTGAGCGAAAGAACATTTCAGGCGATTGGAGAACTCAATCCACTGCCAGATGCTCATCGTGACTCTGTTGGTTGTTACATGATGCGTTCATTATTGTAAGATTCCGTGTCTTAAGCTACTTCCCCATACGTCCCTCTCCCATTACACCCTTCTACCCTAATTTGATATCACGTACGCCATGGGCAAGCACTTTCGCCCCATAGGTCTCAGCCGACACTGCCGTCCCGCATCAGCCCATGTCTCATCAGAATTGTACAAACAGCGGCGGGAACAAGAAGAGGATGAACTGCACAATTGGCGGGATGGAGCCCAGAATGCCCCTGCACAGCTTCGCCAGTCGTACGCTGCCGTTCTCCTGCTCCGCTTCGTAGTATCCGCAAACGATGCTGCCGATGAGCCAGAGCAACAGCAAGGTCAGCATGATGGCGTACCAGGCGGCGTGCAAATGGTACGGATTGGTGCCCCAAGACTCCCAGAGGCTGCGGAGGTTGTAGTAGATGATGCTGCGCAGTGGGACTCCATCGTATTGCAGTTTGTAGATTGTCTTCCATTTCGCCAACTGTACAGAGAAGCGAGTCAGCCACCTTGTCGGCAACAAATGAAGGATGCAACGTCTTGGGCGATGCAGAGCGAGCGACGACGCTTTGGCGATGAGCCTCTGTGAGCTCGACATACTCTGCCCCTGGCCTTTTCCTCTGCCAACGCACGCTCATACGCTTCTGCCGTCTCGGCTTCTGCCTTCTCACGCGCCTCGGCCAGAAAGTCTTCGATGTCGAGGATGAGGTATTTGGCGATGACGTCACGCTGCTTCTTGATCAAGGCGTCTTTGGCCGCCAGCTCTTCCGCGACGGGCATTGCGGGGCTGGTAAGCGTGTTGCTCTTGTGTGTGCGATAGTGAAGGCTGTGGAGGGGTTGAAGCGGAAGAGGTAATGCAGCAGACGACCTCTTGTCTGTTCGGGCAAGCTCTGGCAACGGCTTATTTGCTATTTGCTGACGTGGGAGAAAGCGCGAGTGGATTGTTGCTGGGGAAAGTGCATTTGGAAATGCGTCCAGTGCAGGAGCTGCTGCGATGTCCTCTGACCGCCAGTCACGCCTGCCTCATCTGAGAAATCAATCATGCTCGCATGCACACACTTGGTCCGCCTGTAGGCCTCCTTGCAGGCTACCTCGGCGACTGCATGTCAGTGAGCCCCAGCTACATTGTGGTGTCTTAGTATTGTTCATCGCACATGGCTTCTGGTGCTAGAGTGGTAGTTCAGATTCCCGGAAGGGGCACCCTTATTCGCAGGCGGATACGGGTGCCACACCAAGGACTTTGGGCGTACTATCGTGCGACTGGAGGGCTACACAAATGGGAAGCGTGGAGAGGGCGTCTGATGCATGTGCAAATGGCTTGCTATTGTTCTGCGAACCTGGTTGAAAAGAGCATGGCAACCGTTGGTTTTCTGCCAAGCAGCGGACATAAGCTCGCACCCCACTATGGCCTTCAACTTCATTCGCGCCTGGCTCGAGACTATCTTCCTGTCGCCATATCGCCTGCTGCGCGCATTGCTACCTACGAGCGCATATCCCACCAACCCCAAGGCAAAAGGCGTCAGGGAAAGAATGCCGAAATACTACCACGACGACGAGGCATGGGCGGACATTGAGCCACTTCCCCAGGATGACGGCGGCCTGCATCCGCTCGCTGCCATCGCATACACGGAGGAGTACAGCGAGGCCATGGGCTACCTGCGCGCCGTCATGGCAAAGAACGAGTTCAGCGAGCGGGTGCTCGGCCTCACGGAGCACATCATCAGCATGAACCCCGCGCACTACACTGTCTGGTACGTCGTATGCTCGGTCAAGTTGCGGAGTTTCGGAGGAGACACTGCCTACCAGCAGTCGCACAGGGAGCTCTCCAACAACCACCCTGCTAACCCCCCGCAGGCTCTACCGCGCCAAAACCATCTCTGAGATTGGTCGATCACTGAAGGATGAAATCGCATGGCTCAACCCGACCGCACTGAAGCACCTCAAGAACTACCAGATCTGGCACCACCGACACACCATCATCGACGAGCTCGGCTCATGCGAGGGCGAACCAGAGTTCATAAACTCCATGTTGGAATTGGACTCCAAGAACTACCATGTGTGGAGTTACAGGCAATGGCTGGTCAAGCGCTTCGATCTCTTTGACAAGCCCGAAGAGCTCGAGTGGACACACAGCATGATCGAGGAAGATGTGCGCAACAACTCTGCCTGGAACCATCGCTACTACCTAGTCGTTGGCGGTAGAGAGGAGAAGCCAAGCGCAGATCTTGTGAATCGGGAGATAGAGTATGTCTGTTATCGCCCCAAGCTGCTCGACGATACTAACCCCGTAGGTACACCAAAGCAGCCATCCGGAAAGCGCCCCAGAACCAGAGCCCATGGAACTATGTCTTGGGTATCATTCGCGCAGCGGAACTTCCCAAGTCGACCCTCAAGGACTTCGCGGGTGAATTCGCTGATGTGCAGAGGCCAGACGACGTCCACTCAAGCCACGCTCTTGATCTCCTAGCCGACATCTATGCGGAAGAAGAGAACAGCAAAGAAAATGCGGAGAAAGCCCTGGAGCTGTTGGCGACAAAGTACGATCCGATCCGAGCAAACTACTGGAACTTTAGGAAAGGCCTCCTCGATCAACCAAAGGTTGCTGCGTAAACCCCATGATTAGCGTAAACTTGAGAAGCATTACAGAGATACCCAACTAGCGTTTTCAACATGGTCTGCGGATCCGCATGATCTGTTCCGACGTCCGCATGCAGTTTTCGTTCTGGGGAAGCCCTGTCTGAAACGTCGATAGCTATCGCAGGAAAGTTGCATCGTGATGGGAGCATGGACGCGTCTTCCACTCATGTGCGAGAGTTTTCCTTTCCGTCGGGGATCGCTCGCGCCAATCCCGCAGCCGTCATGTCATCCTAACATCAGCCTCCCAGCCAACCCCGTCTTCACCGTCTCGCCGATTTGTTATCGGCTCCGGGCCTTCTGGACTCATCACCCGCATAGACAACTGATGCGCGTCCTCTGATAGGCAAGGCCGCGCCAAGTCCACCACTGTTTGGAGGCGGCAAACCCTGGCAGAAAATGGTCCCGCCGTTGATAACCGCTTCTGGAAATCCAAACCCTGACCCAAGCTGCTGCGTACCGGTCTCATGCTTGTGTCATTTTGCAGTCGCAGCGTGGTCGCTTGTTCCTTATCGAGAATCTATAGGGTAATTTATGCACTTTATAGGGTAATCGATACAACACATCGTGGATTCGGTGTGCCACAGTGCTGCCTTTACCCCTCTGGCTCCATGACCTGGACACTAGGGTTGCGGGTGCTTGCGGAGCGATAAGCCATCATGGTAGAGATAAAGGAGTGGCTCTTGTACCCTTAGACTGCGACCAAACAAAGCGTTTCTGAACACCAAACATCAAGCTCTTCGTCTACTTCTCATCTTACACTTGCTTCTAATACAATTCTGTGATACCCCAATCCTTTCCCTACTTTCATCATGGCCGTCAAGGAGTGCTACATCGACGAGGCGTCCCAGCAAAACCCATGGGTTCAGACTCCGCTGAGAGAGTCGTACGCGCTGTCTGAAGCAGCGGGATGGTACGGTCACACTCCCTCTCACCTTTACCCCATCTCCTCACTTTCACGTCACAACATGGCCCCATCTTCAAGAAAAGGGAATTCTAAATCGTAGAAGCAGAATCTTTCTCAAGCTGGAAAATCTCCAACCTTCTGGATCATTCAAGTCACGGTAAGCATCGATCCCTTCAGCCGCTACTCAATAGGGTACTGATTCGTCTGCCAGAGGAATTGGCAACTACATCCTCCGTCGTCTCGCAGAACTCCCAGAAGGCTCGCGCCCTCACATATTCGCATCCAGCGGTGGCAATGCAGGTCTCGCTGCCGTCCACTCTGCTCGCGCTCTCAACTTACCGTGCACTGTCGTTGTACCCACCGCCACAGCACCTTTGATGGTTGCCAAACTACGAGCAGCGGGCGCGTACGAGGTTATCCAATACGGTGCAGCTTGGAAAGATGCAGATACATATCTCAAGGAGCATGTAATGCCCTACGTACGGTCCTCTCCATGTATACAATTTGACTGAAACACTGACGCATCCATCAGGCACAAACTTCGACCATCTACTGCCCACCCTTTGATCACCCAGACATCTGGCAAGGCAACAGCACCTGCATGGACGAGATCGCGGCTCAACTCCCAGGCGAGCCAGACGTACTGATCTGCTCTGTCGGCGGCGGCGGCCTAATCAACGGTATCTGCCAGTCTATGGATAAACACCAAATGAGTAAGACAACCATCCTCGCCATGGAGACTGCTGGCGCCGAGAGTCTCAACGCAGCGCTCCAAGCCAAGGAAGTCATCACACTACCCAAGATCACATCACAAGCAACAAGTCTAGGCTGCGCCCGCGTAACAGACGCAACCTTCAAATACGCTCAGCGAGGCAACGTTCGAAGCATCGTTCTACCCGACGCAGAAGCAGCAATGGGCTGCTGGCGCCTCGCAGACGACGAGCGTATCATGGTAGAGCTCGCCTGCGGTATTAACGTCGCTCTCTGCTATGACGGACGACTCGAGAAGGCCCTCGGCCGCCCAGTCCGCCCAGAAGACAAGGTCGTCATTGTGCTTTGTGGCGGTAGCAACGTCACGAGCAAGATGTTGTGTGATTGGAGGAACGAGTATGCGTACATTGAAGAAGAGACTGAGGCTAGGAGGCGCAAGAGTGATTCTGCGCTTGGTAGTGAGACACAGAGTGAGACGGGCAGTGTGAAGGATGTCGATATGGGAATGGGCAATGTCCCAAGTGAGTACAGTAAGCCTCTGGTGATTGAGGGTATTGAGGTTGGCTGCGTAGAGTGCTCATAGGAGTAACTTCTTTTCCTTTTCCTTTTCCACGAATCTCCTTGCGCTCAGCCTTACATACTGAGGCGCTTCCATGATAGCGTTCAATGGCAAAAATTTCACGTTCAATCTCCATGCGTTCACTCACCATTCATTCTTCGTGGGGCTTGGTGGTGCCTTAGCTGCTGGGCTATGCCTGCTACCTCTCGAGAAGGTTTCTTGGCAAGGCTCTAGGGCATCACGATGCGTCGTCTCTCTCGTTGCTTTCACTCTTAACATGTTCTGGGTTCACATTGCTACTAGCGTCAGATGCTGTCACTGGTCTGACCTGCCTTGCGCGACAATGCTTTTACAAAAAAGGTAACCTACTCATGATGTCATGAGGCAAAAGAGTCTGCGAAGTATGTAAGAGGTGAATTGCTTTGTTCAGTCGTCTGGAGCGCTCAGAACAAGGCCTGTATAGTCTGGAGCGCTGTTCTATCTTGTAACGCTTTGTCTCACACGCCTGTACTGTGACTCGAAATACGATGTTTGACTTCATTCAAGAGTGTTGTATGCATTGTCGTTCTGGTGCGCGCGTATTCTCTCACTCCACGTCACGTCTCCGCTACCCTTCTTGCGTAACCACTGCTCACTACCTTATCGACTACGTCCACACCGTAAAATTAGAAGTGCCCTCCCGTTAGTCGCCGAAAGCGAGGTCATAAAACTTCAAAGCTCATTTCGCCATGGCTAACCCGCGAACAGTCATCAATCCATTTACCAAGAATGAACACCGCATGCGACGAAACACGAGGGGTACGAAATGGGTCACAGCCGGCCCTTCGATGGTAGTCAAACAGAACCTTGACACTGAGCAGCGGCCAACACAGCCCAACCATTACAAGTTCAGTTTACTCAGCGACTCAAATGACGGGCCCACCGAGACGTGTGTGTCGTCATCGATGACATACGAGACAAAACCACCATCACTATCTTCAAAGCCTTCTGTAATCCATACGAAGGTATCATACCAGGAAAGCCCTGTAATAGCACCAAGACTTCTCGACTTCTCGAAGCTTGAACAGACCTGGAAGATGTCAGACTCGGCCGTTCTTCCTCGCTGTTCAGCGTCAACAGTACGGCCTGAGCAAGGAACAAAGCGCATGCGGAAGAACCAGATTTTGGATAAACCATCTGATACTGATCAAGCTACAATCCAGAAGCAAAAACGTGAACAGAAGCAAGCTGTTTCCGGTCCGACTCATTGGTACCGCACAGCTAAGAACATCTACACTACAGGCCCAAAGGGTGAGGGACAGAAGGTTTGGGAAGCGTACCAGCAGACACTTGGCCATAAGAAAGCTGGTAATGAGCCCTCTGAGATCAAGCCTCCCGAAACAATGGCGAAGGTGAAGATCGAAAGGCGACCGCCTTGTCCTCTTCCACCCCCAACAAGTCCTGATGGAGTTCTCTTCCCACCGCTGCGGCCGCGGACGTCTCATACTGATAACAGTAACAAAGTAAACATACCCGATAGGCCAGATGCGCGGAGAGATTCTGGCTTCTCGAGCTCAATCCATGGATCCCCGATAGCCGCTGAAAGAGCAGTTGGATTAATAGTTGATGTGAACAACGCTCACCCTCCCTTCTCAACAATAGACACAGCACCGAAGGTACGAAGAGCTAAAGACGTGCCATTCGTAAATTTCCGACAGCCCGCTGGGAAAGAAGAGTCCAACTCATGGTGGAAACATTCGCCCTCCAGAGCACCTCAATCTTTGAAGTCCAAGATCTCACGTCCTGTCCCACTAATAGAACCAATCCAAGATACCACAGTCAACGTAACTGTAGAACGCGGTAGAATTGCGGGACCTACAGCTGAACTTCCCCTTCCCATAACCCACACTGACGTACCCTTCTCCCAGCCGTCTTACGTCCATGAGAAGACTAGAGAAACTGGCCGACCCTCACCTCGAGCTTTTCATCTCCCTGGGTTCCATCTCAGTCCTGCTAAGAGCAAACGCAACGGTCGAGGGAAAGCAAATGTAGATGAGAACGACGACGCTCACTCGACACACTGGCACGACAAGGTCGTAGGACCAACGTTGAAGACTGGTAAGTCGTTGAAGCAAACTGCTATGCAGACTCTAGACAGCGTACACTCAGGGAGAAAGAAGACACTTTCGGGTATCAGCTTTGCGTGCCAGGGTAGGGTAGACGATGGGCTGGACAGGTATCAGGTCAGTGAACAAAACTCGTCAAGCAACGATGAAGAGGACATGTATCCTGAACCGTTGTTCTATGGTAAGATGTTAGGCAGAGATAAGAAGTTATCTGGACCTTAACTTAGGGCTTTGAAGGACTAATGAGGCCCTCCTTCGCATCAATTCTTTCATGGAAGGCCGGATGACGCTTCCGTTGTACTATTTTCTATTCGATCATCTTCTGATCATCTCACTGTGGATAGCTTTTGAGCAAGCATTAAAACGCGCTTGTATTTATGTGATGATATATTCCTCCTTCACTTGTATTATCTACACCTCTCACACCGAGGCAACCCTTCAACTCGTATCCCCGTGAAAGACCATTACGCAGCCCGACATTGATGAGACGCGGGAATACCATTCGGACACCTGCCATGGCACTACACTACTCGCATGATCACTTGTCCAAAAGCCGCAATACTCCCCGACCCAATTGTAGTCCTAGCGCTCTGATCATAAATCTGAACCTTGGCGCGCCAGGTATTCTCTAGATCAAGTTAGTAATACTGCACATCCCTATCCATTTGCTGGTAGTCCGAATCAGTGTTGAGCAGAGATATGTCTTGCGAGTCGCTGAAGCAGTCAACAAAGTCGAGACCGCCGTTGGTAAAGTACGTCCTCGTACGTTTTGCGCTTGTCAAGTATACTTGCGGCCACAGAGCGACAAACCTTACATGCTATCCATCCTTTGCCTTGTCCAGCGAAACATCGGCATCTACATGTGTTCTGATGCCATTCAACTCCGACAACGCAGCAATGAGATCCTTCTGCGGCCCACCCAGATGCTCCAACACCTTCACTAGATTCTCTGTTTTGGGAACGAGCTTGTTTTGCCCTATTCTGATGAAAGAAGCGAGTGGTTTGAAAGCAGTTGCTGCTATCTCCTCGAGAAGGTAGTGTTGGTGATCCAGCGGTGTGGTGGACGAGTTGGACATATTGACGAAGCTCGAAGTCGAGCCTGCTTCGCTTTCTTCGCTACGCGCGATCTGCTGTTTGGCAAGTCGATCGCGATCAACTACCGCATAAGTGATTGTGGCCTTGAGTCCTAGCGGCATTTCTTCGGTGCACACCACCCCATCTGGCTGGCTACACAGGGTCGCTTTGTATTCCGACCCATGCTGCCCAACGAGAAAATTGGACACGTTTGACATGGAACTCGGCTGGATGCGGATCGTGGCAGATGAGTGTGGCCAGAATATCTGGGATAGCACAGAATGATTGTGCAGGATCTGGAGAATGTCATCGGCGTTGAGGCCGTCTGGGAGCGGGTATGTGCTTTTGCTGCCTGTTTTGGTAGAATACAAGACTTGCCACTTGTCAGATATCCACTGAATATACCTGCCAGTTGCTGGCGAAGGCACACGTACAAGATGCCATTATACGAGAATTGTCTCCCTGGACTTGATTACTAACAATGTGTCGCCTCTTCAGTAACGGAGGGGGGATGCTGATGAAGTCAGGCCGTGGGCACCAAGGTAGTAGCGGTCGTGCCTTTGGCTCCGGAGAATGACGTTGTTTGCAAACCGGGGTGGTGGAGAAGCTTCTAAAGAAATGCTTAAACGGCAACTGCGGCAGCGGCACCTCATACAAGAAAAAAACTGAACAGGTCTGCAGGCTACGTTAAGCCAAAACACTGCAAAGGTGGTGACCCAGCGCCAATGTAGGCTCCAGGCTGTTCAGCTTTTTCCTAGGTTGGCGTGGCGGAGAAGTTTCGGAAGCAATGCCTGAACGGTAATGACGGCACTGGCCTTGTAGTGTATTCAATAGCCTTGCATCATCACCTCTGTACCAACTCAAGCCCTATGCAAACATCTAGTGATAGTGATATACACGTGTATGACGCAGAAGCTGTTCACACTGCTTGGAAATGGACTAAAGTATGAAGGAGCATGGGAAGCTTACTTAGGACTGAGTCTCGTATTCCTAGGCAGATGTGGAACGGCGTCGCGTGCTGCAGTCTCTAAATAGTTGCAGACAGAACTAAACGTGAAGGATGCCGGTATCAGATGGCTGTATTGACTACTAGAGTGAGATATTCTGACATTGCACAGTCTATCCGAGCTGGAGGCGGAGGATTATGGAGTTGCTCGCACAGGCCACGTGCTGCCAGAGTTTTTGGAAGGCTAAAAGAGGGTAAAATAGTTTCGAAACGGGTTGCCTGACCGTTTTGGCCCCGGCTGATCACCCGCCGTGCATCCGGCGGAGAACGGATGGTCCCAGTGTAGTAAATTATGGGCATGGGAACGAGGATATGCATGAGATGGGGTATTATTAGGCTGGTGAAGATGGGAGGCTGGTAAGATTTAGCATGATGGAGGAGGAGTGGCAAATGCAGGCGCCTGCAGGCTGGGACGAGGAACACGATGAAGCGACTGGAGATGGGACAAGTTTTGGGCTGTGTCGATTGCGAAGATTGCAGAGCTTTAGCCCGGGTTTGTACTCGTGATGTTCATGGAAGGGCGTTGGTGTCTTGACTACGAGTGAGCCGAGACCGATAACTGCGAACTTCATCAGCATCGTCTGCATAGTGGGACGGGCCCTGGGGCGTAGGTGCTGAGGCACGGGCGGGAACAGGCGCAACTCATGGCAGTCTCCATCCTCCCGTCAACTCACGCGACGGCCCACTGACCAAGACCAACGTGGCCTCATGAGAGATGCGAACGCGCCACTGCTAAGAAGGATGTTTCCCTATTAGCAGCCTGGCGCATCATTGCCATGGTCTCGTACTACCCCACGATGCAGCCATGGACGAAAATAACCGTGCAGCAAGAAACGAAA